GTCTCGAGTGGTTACGATTTCTTCATTGTCGTCGTAACTTGTAGGGAAGAGAGGGAAGTGAAAAGGGGGAAACCGTAGATTCGATCTCCATTCGTTATCGAATCGAAGCGATAGTGTTTTACTTCAAGGCCCGACCTGATGCTGGCGACATTCCCCGAAGATGTCTGGTAAGCTTGAAGATTCCCGATCTTTCAATTTTCCCAATCATCGATTATTTTTGATTCTGAAGTTTTCTCCGGGTCGGTTTTAGTTTCGGATGGTTTTGAAGGCTTAGAATTTAAGTGGGGTAAAAAGAGACGAGTTGGTGGAAAAAATAAGGATGTCCAATTCTATGAATCTTTCACTTACGACGGTGATGAATATTGTCTTCATGACTGTGTCTTACTTGGCGATCCACACTCTGGTGAACCCTTTGTTGGCAAGATCATCAAAATTTGGGAACACAGTAATAAGCGTGCAAAATTTTCAAAGCAAGTCAAGCTTCTCTGGTTCTTTAAACCTTCTGAGATTTCGCCATATCTTGAACTAGTCCCAGACGTACTTGCAAACGAACTCTTTTTGGCATCCGGTGAAGGTGTTGGCCTCGCTAATATCAACCCATTGGTAACTGATTATTCTTCTGTATACTGTTTTGAATATTTCATTAACCATTTTACTTGTTGAGCTTGATTTGGCCTATTGCAACCTATGTGCTCCAAGTAGCATTTGTGCCTTCTTTTGTCACCCTGTCACAGATCTCACCTCAAATTTATTGCAACATATCGTCGTTAATAGGCAATGATCTGTCGCTGCTTTTTCTGAAGATCCGCCGATAAAAATACTTTTGATTGGTTTCTATCATTGTTCCAAGTGTCTTTCGATGGTTAATCAAACATGTTCTTGTGTCTCGATAGATTGACCTTTGCATCACTTTTTGTTTGTTATATTCGTTTTAACTTTATGCGTGTATAGCTGGTGCAAGAGATTAGTTAGTCAATTATTTCTGCTGTGTATTGATAAAACATTATTACACTAGGAAGCAATTGGTGGAAAATGCTCAGTTCTATGCATTTCGAAGGACAAAAGAAATCCACAACCCTCGGATGAAGAAATCAAGTCAACAGACTTCGTGTTTCTTCGAACATTTGATGTTGGAAGTCGCAAAATTTTAGATACGATAGATGATAACATTGCTGGAGTTGACGGTACATTTTGTTTCTTCTCATTTGCTAGCTTCGATACTCTACTTTGTGATCAGTAGCTATCTTGATTCTTTATTTACATCATATCTTCTTTTTCACTCCAATTCTTGCAGTTAAATTTATCTTTAACAGAGCGGGTTGTGAGAAAGAAGCAACTGCTGTGCAGAAAATTGAAGCAGATATTAAAGAGGATCGAGATAGTTTGAAACCAATTGGTTCTTCAGCTAGTGCTTCAGTTAGGAATATTGAAGCAGACATAAATGGGAATCCAGATAGTTTGAAACCAAATGGTCCTTCAGCTAGTGCTTCAGTTAGGAAAATTGAAGATAACTCGATTGAATCTTCAGACTATGGAGAAAGCAGATATGGTTGCAAGGAAGGGAAAGAGAAATGTCACAATCAACTAGCTACGAAAAAATCTCCAGTTGCTGAAGAAAGGTCTAATAAGGATTCTGGTGTGCAAGAAGGCACGACCCATAATGAACATGACTCTTGTGAAGCTTCTGGCTCTAAGGGAAATCATTGGTTTGGGAAAGCTCAAGAAAAGGAAGTTCAAAAACTATTTACCAAACAAAAATCTATGCCTGCAGAAGTAAGATATAGTAACACTTGTGAAGCTTTTGGCTCGAGGAGAATTCATTCCAATTCCAAGACAGATCAAGTCAATGGTGTTAAAAAACAGTTGACGAAACAAAAATCTATGCCCACTGAAGAAAGATGTAGTAGAGAGTCCAATGGATTGGATGACAGGCCTCAAAAGAAACAGAAACTAAATGGTTCTGTTACAGTACCAGATGGACGAAATACAAAAATTCTGCAGAAACTTAGTTCTGATGGTAAAAAAGATATGGGATCTTTTAAGAGACCTAGAGACAAAGTGACTAGAGATGAAGTCCTTCCCGAGAAGTCTAGCTTCGTTAAGAAGCAAGATCTGGGGGTGTCAGTTTTTGAAGGACAAGATAGAAAAACTACAACGGAGAAAGGTTTATCGAAGAAACCAAGCTTTGATGGTAAGCGATTAAAATGTGCTGAGGACAAGAGGTTGGCAGATGATAATGAAAGAAATTATCAAGTAATTGAAGTGACCCAAAAGCCGGATGCTGTAAGTTTATATTTACTATACGATTCCTGCTGTACGATTTAGTTTACATTGGTTTGGAACTGGCTGTTTGATGAAATTTCAGTGTTGCAAAAATTTTAGATACAATGATTTTGCAAGAACACGATTCTATTAGTAGCAGTTTTGTTTGACAGTCCACTTTGCATGTTGTAGAGTTGTAGTGATGTTCTGTCATTCTTCTCATCATATTACTTGTTACCACAGCGCTTGTAAGCATGTTCTGTGATCTAACAGATTTTTGTTTCCTTTATTGATCTCAGGTTAACAGCAAATGGTTCCGGCCTCTTGTAAGTATTTTTTTCCCTTCCTTCCCTTTGCATGCCACTTCTGTGAATGGTCGTTTTTGGTTTCCCTCATTTTTCGTGTTTGACTAGCTTGTTCATTGATGCTAATAGGGTGACATGTTAGTTCTTTTCTATTGAATTGCTAATGACTCAATCATATGTTAATCAGTCAAGTTTGAGAAACTCCACAGTCAAGTAATTCCACACCTGTTGTTTTCCTCGCCTTTGCAAATTCTTCTAGCTAGTCTAGATGGGTATCAGATTCTGCTTTTCATATCAGAAATTACTGATTAAATCTGGACTGACTTTTAAATTGTTTAAACCATGGCCAGCCTTGGGAAGAAAGTATGAGGGAAGCAGAAACGCAAGAGAGACTGGTTCTCCTTCAAAACTTGGATCCTACTTATACATCTCATGAAGTACAGGTATTAGCGAATCGAAAGAGTTTATTTAGGAGTCTTTTAAACGCATATAACTTATGTCGCCTCATTTAGTGTAATTGTTTGCTGGTTTACCTCGTTGAAACCTCCCTTCTTTCCTCTTTATATAAGAAATTTATGAATTATATATTTCAGGATGTAGTCTATTCTGCTTTGAAAGAGCAATGTACAGCGAGGATGATAGAGTGTATACCAGTCAATACTCCTCATATTGGTAAGCTACCATTTTACTCACAGGGGTTCTGATTTATGGTTCTCACATTCTAGAAATGGAATGCAGAGCTTTACTATGGCATCTCACACTGGTTCTGATTTACAGGTCAAGCTTTGGTCATTTTCGAAACAAGAGAAGCCGCACAAAGTGTGATTAGAAGACTAGATGAGGGATGTTTGTTGCTATCTGATGGGAGGTATCTCGCATGACATATTCCCCTTTTTCTAAGCTTCCAATGATGAATTGTAGATTTCCGTACTCTGCCATTTATTGGCATACTTTCATCTCGATGAATATAATTTTAACATCTCGATTAATATGAACAAAACTTAAGCATCTTGAGAATCAACATCTCTGAGAACTTACGTTGGTGCACTGCACAAAAAATCACCTGCTCTAACGCGAAAGTGACTTTACTCGTTTTTATATATGTGCCAATGACATTCTACTGCTAGAGAAAACGAGATGTGTTGAATTGATCTCTGGCATTGTTTCAGTTTAAGCATTTGTTCTGTGCAATTTTCATGCGGGATGATGTGTATGCATGTGTGGATTATAATCTCCCTTTTTTGCTTAACAGGCCCCTTGTTGCCGCGTTTGCCAAGATTAATCCTCCTGGGAAGCCGTCATCATTCCCCGGCCATATCAAAATACACAAGCTTCAAATGCGACGAGAGACGGTATTGTTTTATTGCCCTTTCACACACACAAGTAATAAATGCATCGATCCTCTAACAATGTTCTTTGGTCTTTAAATTTGTTTCCAGGGAGATGCCAAGGCTACAGCACATTGCTCTCAGGGTAACACCATTGAATTTGAATTGGCAATGGAATGGTGCTTGCACCAAGCCAGATCCAAGCATGCGATTGAATCGGTATTTAAGGTATTAGATTTGATACACCGTTGTCGCGACTTAGTTTTATTTCCTTATTTATCTGACAAAACATCATGTTTTTTTTCCCTTGGATTTATTCGGCTTTCTGATTCATAAACAATTTTTAGTTTGTATTCTTCAAAATCCTTTAAGAATAACTGAATCTTTGGATCCTTGTAGCGGCAATCGGAGGAGCAAAAATCGATGCGGATTAATTTCAAACCTAAATTTCCTTAGTTTTGACAATCATCCCATCTTCTCATGCAAGTATTAATTCTTTATTCCTCTTGAGGTGCATATCTCTCTTTTAAAATAAATTTTTTTATCATGTTATCTTCTTTGTTTCAGAGAGAAACATCATCATCAACTTACATTAGAAGAAAGAACACAAGTTCTCTTAAGACAGTGGCCCAAGAATTTTGCCATTGAATCCCACCATTTTTGACATGGTAAACACCTGGTTTCCTTTATGATTTTAAAAACAGAATATTTTATTTTTCATGGAATTATTAAAATCAAAATTTGCAGGAAAGAATATGATTATGAAATTCCAATTTTTGCTTTTTCTTTCTCCCTTGTGTTTTAGGAACATACTGATGCGGCTTTTGGTCTCAATCGGACCACCTTTTGTTGTTTAATTATCTTCTTAAGGTGTTTAATTATCTTCTTAAGGGTCATTTTGCTCTCGTGAAGTGTTAAACTTGTGTTGAATGTTTTTAAGAGAGTTATTGTGTCTTGTAAAATTTCTGACTCGTAGGAGTTTTAATATATAATAGTCAAATTATTTTATATTTTAGGATTAATTGCTTCTTTTTCCCTAAACCTGAAACGTATGTGATCTCACCATGTGTATTAAGCTTTTTCGCCACTTTAACGGTAAGAACATATAGTACTTGTTTTTCCAAAATAATTAATCATCAATTATTCAATTGCAATTAATTCTAGAGCCAGATTATAATAGTGAAACTTGTACTTTTCAAATGATAAATCTTACAGAAACTAATTGGATTCACCATTCTTTACTGAAAAGTGAAAACTGAAGTCATAGTTTTTTCGTTGATAACTTATACTGTATAGAATGCTATGCACATCTCAAATAATTGTCCTTGGCATGTGTAAACTTGTTACTCTCGAATTTTTATTGTAATATTTTAGTTATTCATTATATTCAAAGTGATCGAATCATTTGTTGACCTTTCAGTTACTATATTCTGAAAAAATTATAAATTATAAGGTACAATCTCTTAAGCACAATCTTACTCTTTTAAGCATAATCTTATACAAGTATTAGATTGTAAATTTTAATACAAAAAAGTTTTGATATTTATGTGGTGAAAAAGGTTATCACCGACAACAAATCAATGAACGTGCATTCCCCACAACAAATCAGACGACACACCTATTCACCAATGTTACACCATATCTTCTGAAAAAATCTCGCCTAGCCTACTGTTTTAAAATGAATGATGTTATGTTTAGAACCAAAAAATCAATTAGTGATATTTTTAATGAATTTCTCATCTTTTCATTTTTGGAATTGTACAATTGATTTTTTTTTAACGACTGTAAACGTTTTAAAACAACAAAAATCAATATTTTTCTTATAGAGTTTTGTAGTTATTATGAATTTCGATTTCAGATTTCTCGAATATTTCAAAAATAAAAAGTTAGTGATGAATTTAAACTCTCCTTTCGATATTAACCCAAAATAATTTTAAACCTTCTTATAAAACTTAAGTAATACATATACGAATGTTGTGGTAGCTTTAGTTTGCTCATCCTGTAAAGAGTAGATTAACATAAGTTCTATTTTTAGGTTAATTCGTTTTTGGTGTTCAGATTTTTGCAGACCATTAACAATCATATAAAAGCAAAAATACAAATGTTTCATAGATCTAGCGTGAGCTTGGAGGGTAGACCATATATGGATAAAGACATGATTCTCACAATTTTTTCAAACATCATAACGTTGATCCACCATAATTTGATTATTACTGGATTGGATTAATTAGACCCCACCAGATCAACCCACAAATATTTAGCACAAGACTCTAATTCAAATCAAGATCTTACATTTCGTTAAACAAATGAATTATATTCCTGTAAATATGGTGCATACTTTGCATACTGCATACACATTACTGAAAAATGTAATACAAACCAATGTCTTCGTATCGATCGGTGTCATTTATTAACCATAACTGATATGTAACTCCCGTTGATTCGTCATATCAAACATAGTTAGAAGAAGTGAAATTAGCTTTAGACCAAAAAAAAAAAAAAAGAAGAAGTGAAATTAGCCTTAACATCATTTTTTCCTTCTAATCTCCCATCGTATTTCTTCATTTTCCTTAGTTTTCCTTTCAAGAACTTTCTCGGATCAAAAACTTTAACTCCACTATCTTCCCCTGAAACCAACAAACCCGAGAAAATCCAATTGACCAAACCGGTCTACAATATTCAAACACGCCTTATTTTACCATATTTCATAACATATCCAAATCTAATTATTTATTATTTATCTATGTGGAAATTAGCATGAAATCCTTTTTTTTTTTGTCTGTTCGATATTTCTTTGCCTCGCAAGTAAACATGTTTCTCTGACTCTATACTTTGCTCCTCGTGATTTCCAACTCGAAAACGCGCAATGGTTTTTTCAAACTAAGGAAAATATTCGCAAACTGTAAATCATCGATCATGTCCCAACTGATATCCCCAGCTTCCCATTTGAAGATCTCGGGAAAACTTTTGTTTTATGATAAAAAGTTTTTGGGAAAACTTGCTCGTCTTACATGTTTCATCCGCCCAAGTGAACACTACGCTAGTCACTTGGGTGTAAGAAAAGCGTCTGCTCGCAAGCATAACCTAAGAGAAAGTTGAAACGTTTGGCATTAATTGATGATAAAGTTGAGCTATAAATTTTGTTAAGGA